TTGATACTTTTTCTCAAAATCACTGTAGCTTTCATTATTTGACACACAGCTATTTCCCAATGCTCCCCTCCGACATTTTCCTAGTCCTAGTCTTATTCGCACATAGGTTTTACCAGCGTCCCGACATGTCCTTGTGCTAGTTTGTAACTTACTTTATTCTATGCAAAATATTGTGAACGTATTCTCCTCGAATCATAGGTAGGTTCTTCAATACTATTCATATCATCGTGGAAGAATTCAACTAACAGTTCTATATCAACTTAAACGAAATAGGGTGAATGCAGCCTCTATATTAGAGAAACTACGAGTCTCGAAGAACCTATCTAAGAAACGAGAAATAAGTAATTAAGTCGATTGCTATAGCAAATAAAACTGCTTAATCGACAATGCCACCACAGAGTAAGATATGGGAAAATGATTGGCATTCCTAGAAATTAGCATCTGCCCTGTGATTCAAGAGCACTCATAGCACTGTGGCATAATGGTTAACATGTCGAGCTTATATGCTATACTATCACAGCCCGGGGTGCTGATGAAACATAGGCGAGGTCGGAACTGCGATAAGCGCTGGATGAGAAACCAGGCTGTGAGGAAATCTAACTACCAGTCTTTTATCACCCTAAACGAATACAGCTCTTATATTCTCCCCGATTCAAATCTCGCAAAGTGAATCAAATGGTATCATAGATGTTTTTAACCATAAAACATCACTAAAATGCAAGAAAAAATAAATTTAATAAAAACTAATTATCAAATTAAACGAATAGTGTGTGAACAGAAAAGAGGAATTGGTAGTATTATAACTCACAGCTCAGCGGCTCCAGTCGCCTGACCCTGAGGACCTCTTGTGAGAGCCCCAGACCGTTTATCTCGTCTTTTGCCACGGTAATAGGTTCGTTCTCGCTTGGGTAGCCATCGTTCAGGGTCGGGAAGGGTACCTGGTTGGAAGTCTTTGGGCAGGTGAATCTTACGTTTCTTTTTCCTCTGCCGGCGCTTAACAGCATTTTCGAGTCGGGCTGATGTGGCAGATGACAGCACAGTTTCTCTATGACAAAGTCGAAGATAATAAAATTTCCGTAACCAATAATGATGGAATTGGAAATACAACAAGACGCCATTATAACAGCAACTTGACAGCGAATATAATAGTCGAATACCACCTTTTTCTGAGTCATGATTAAGTCAGTCTTCGAAAACCAAAATTCATAATTTTAAGGATATTAAGGGTTAAATTTAAAAAAATTTAAAGGTCTGTTTAGAGGCCTTTGGTTGCATGGCTACAACTTACCCTGAAGGGGTCTGATGAACCTCTCCACTAGCCTTGATTCTACGCATATATTTGGCCCCGAAAAGGAAGGCTGTCTCAAGCTTGTCCACATCAGCTTCAGAAAGCTTTGGCACTAGCCATTGCTGCCGCTGGGACTCTGTGCTGGTCTCCCCAGTCCCCACCGTATATCGGCTAGCCACTTCAGCAGCCTTAACTTCGTCAAAACGGGCATAGGCGCTCACGAGCCGAGCCACTAAGGTGCGCCGAGTAGTATCACGCTCAC